TATATATATATATATATATATATATACCACTGGGCATAGAAATAACAATGTTCAAACAGACAGTACCTGGGAGCCAAGCATAAACTATATGTCCAATTTGTAAAATTTGACAAAGGTGTGTGGAGAGGACCAGCCTTCTGCCACACAAATGTCCTCTAAAGAAACTTTCTTAAAAAGAGCCTGAGATGATGCTACACTCCTCGTGCTGAAGGGAAGCACTGGAAATTGAAATGGTTTGCTCCCAAAAGCTAATCTGAGGCAATCTGAACGTGGAAATAAGCATCCTTCAGTTTTACAGTGACAAAGCAATCTTCAGGTTGAATCTCCACCAGAATCTGCTTCTGAGGCAACATCTTCAACTTGCTTTTTGATGGAGCATAGTTCAGATGCTGCAGGATAGGTGCAGAACTCCCTCCTTTTTGGTACTAGAAAATAATGGATGTAGAAACCGCTCTACTCCCTGAAAAAGAGACTTCCTCTATAGCTCTATTCTCCAAGAACATAAAGCATTTGCCTCAAAACAGGAGCCTCCTTTACATTCATTATAGTGGAAAGCACTCAGTTGAAGCAAGGTGGATTGCACCGAAATTGGAAGGTATACTGTATCCCTTAGTTGCAAATCAATACAACTGTGATGGTGCTGGTGAACTGTGGGATGAGGCTGTGAATCCCAAATTTACAGTTCTGTCAGGACCACTATCGTCAAAGATGATTGACAATTAGCATACAGTTTGGATTGGCAAGAACTCCCTGCGCATCCATGCAGACTAGCATGCAGATATATGTATTGCAGATATTGTTAAAGTTCAATAATTTTATGTACACATTTTTTTTTAAGTGACGTGACATGTGGCCAAGTATGGTTACCCATACTAGGAATTAGTGCTCTGCATTTATCCCATCCTAAGTGCACACACACAGCAGTGAACACACACACACACTGTGAACACACACCCGAAGCAGTGGGCAGCCATTTATGCTGCGGCGCCCGGTGAGCAGTTGGGGGTTCGCGGCCTTGCTCAAGGGCACCTCAGTCGTGGTATTGAAGGAGGGAGAGAGCGCTGTATATTCACTCCCCCACCTACAATTCCTGCTGGACCTGAGAATCGAACTCGCAACCTTTGGGTTACGAGTCTAACTAATGGTTACGAGTCCGACTCTCTAACCATTAGGCCACGACTTCCACGAATTTTAGAATTAGTCTGATTCAAAGGAGAATCAGAAGGCTGAATCCTGACTGACAGAGGAGGAGCTGGGGATGGAGGAGGGTAATTAGCTATTGAGCAATGCGAAAACTGCTGGTAATACTGAGGGAGGACCTTATATACGAATGCTTAGATATTTGTCATATTCCCATAGGTTGAGAGTCAGCTGATGCGAGCTTGACTAACGTGACTTGCCAGAACTAACGCTACGCTAGATGAAATTTACTAAATATCTTTATGGAACATGATCTTTACTTAATATCCTAATGATTTTTGGCATAAAAGAAAAATCAATAATTTGACCCATACAATGTATTTTTGGCTATTGCTACAAATATACCCCAGCGACTTAACACTGCTTTTGTGCTGCAGGGACACATATATAAGTTGAGTAAGGTAACTTAAAGGGATGGTTCACCCAAAAATAAAAATCCTGTCATTAATTACTCACCCTCATGTCGTTCCAAACCCGTAAGACCTTCGTTTGTCTTCAGAACACAAATTAAGATATTTTTGATGAAATCCGCCAGCTTTCTGACTCTACATAGACAGCAACGCAGCTACCAAGTTCAAGGCCCAATACTTTTTGTGAGCGCAAAGAAACGTCACATGCATGTGTCATGCTACTCTCGTGAATGCACATCGACTGAAATTCTTGAATATTTGTCGTTATTTTTGTTTTCACAAAAAGTATTCTCGCAGCTTCATAAATTACGGTTGAACCACTGATGTCGCATGGACTATTTTAATGAAGTCCTTACTACCTTTCTGGGCCTTGACCGTGGTAGTTACCTTGCTGTTTTTGGAGGGTCAGAAAGCTTAACAAAAATCTTAATTTGTGTTCTGAAGATGAACGAAGGTCTTAATGGTTTGGAATGACATGAAGACGAGTAATTACAGAATTTTCATTTTTGGGTGAACTATTCCTTTAACCAGTTAAAGTTTTTCTGCAACTTTTTACATTATTTTACATTTTTGGTTGTAAATAAACTAAAAATATTACAGATGCTATGGCTGAGAGTTCAGAAAGCTTCACGTGGTAACCTGTTTTACAGTGTAACTAATGGAGAATCCAGTTAAATAAACCAATAAATCTGTTTTCTATAAGTAACTCTGTCTGGTTGTGAACTCATCTGACTGTTGCCAGTATGGTGAGCTGACCTCTGACCTCTGACCTCTGCCCTCCGGCTGTGTGCCAAGCAGATTTCTGTCTTACTGGAAACAGAAGCAGAGCTGACACACAAACACCCAACATCAGGTCACAACAAACACATTTACACAAGTTAACTAACCTGACTGGAGAACAATGTGATAATGATACTTCATGTAGTTTACTTTCATGACTTGTTTAGTAGAGTCGCTGCTCTGTTTCTGAGAGTTTTTATTAACAAACATCTTAGAATCTGATTGAGCAGTCAAGACATTGCTTTGGTTGAATGTAGTCAAGTAATTTCTTAGATTTCTGTGCTAGTTTTATGTCTCTCATATCATCCTATAGTCTAAGACAACACAAAATAAAACACCACAGACACTCAATATTTCATATTACAATTTTTTTCTCCAGTCACTGTTTTACATTTCTATTCTGTTGAACAGAAAGACAAACTAGCTTTTTAAGCATCACATAATAATGATCCCGTTTTTATCCTCCTTGTTTGGCACAGAATAAAGGAAGTTTATGGATTATCACACTGCCATATTTTACAGTGATCTTCCGAACTGTCTGTTACATTGTGACTGGATGTTAATTAATGAGTCGCTAATGTTTTTCTGTGCTTTGTGTTTGTGCATATTCCCTCTGACCTCAATCAGCGTCCATCTGTCTCGGTGGCTGCTGTGCTGGATTCTGCTCAGACTGTAATTAGGCCGGTTATCTGGTTAAGACCTGTGACAGCATGCGGCACAACATGGCCTCAGTCTGAAGAGCTTCTCGAGCCGTGTGCAGCATGTCAACAGAGTTGCAGTTGTGATGTAAAATGACTAAGAAACATTTACGGTAAGTGTTGGTCACTACACAAACTCATCAAAGCAGAAAAAGCTCTTTGGTTTATCGTCTCAAATCCTGCAGCAGATCATGATCGTCAGGATGTGTTTATGCAGCTTTTAAATCAAAAGTGAAGCACCACATTTTTAAATGTATGTTTTTCGTTTTTTTTTTATTTACGGTTAAAGTCATGCATTTAGCAGACACTTTTATACAAAGCAACGTGCAAACAGGAACAAAAGCGAGTGTGGTTACTATAAAACTTTAAAAAAGTTACTTGAAACAAAATACACTTTTAGTGAAATTAAAAATTAAACTATACAGACGTGTTTAAAAAAAGACAAAAACAACAGAATTACTAAAACTAACTAAAATTAAAATACTAATTAAAAAATATCATTAAACAACTATAATAATACAGTGAATTCTATTTACATAGAAACAGCAAGTGCAATTAAAACACACCAATAATCTTTGTTTTATTCACAACTTTGAAAAATCATTTTTTACACTCTTTAATCTCAATGATGCTAAATATTCCAGTCAACAACGTCTGCAATATACAATGCCAAGTTACTAGATTAGGAAGTAAACTGTTCACTCATATTCTCATAATATATTGTTATTGTTAAATTGTTATATACTGTATATGAAAAGAAGCATTTTCACTAGTGCTTTTGTATATATTGTCTACTTGGACAGCAACAAATGTTAAACCTAAAGGTCTTTCCAGCACATCCCGAACATTTCATCACGTCTTTTAAACACAAACTGTAATGAAATTTCTAACTGCAAGCTCTTGAGATGGGCCGGGGTTAATGAGCACAGGACAAAAGAGGCTTTAATTGCTGTTGAGCAGCGGGGGCTACAGAAGAGAAGAAGAGGAGAGGAGCGGAGGGGAGGCACGTGTTACACAGACTCTACTGGATTAAGTCCCTTACAAGCCGTCTGGTGACTGAGTTGGACTAGCAGCACAGGACAAACCTGCAGGAGTCCAATCAGCCTCAATACAGAGCATCAGGACAAACGAGATACAGCATCTGCACTGTTACTGTAAGTCTTGTTTATGGCTGTCATAGATCCCTCGCTGCCTGTGTTTTGAGATCTGTAGCACAGGTAAAGAGATGTTGTGTGTGTCTTACTCCAGTGTGAATGACATTGATGGACGCGCTCCAGATTTCTTTATATTATACTCTATATGATTATATTTCATGAAGACTGTCTATGGATTGCTGAGAACTTTAGGCTGCATTTTTCTTGTATTTGATCGTTTACCTGCTTATATTCAGAGAGTCTATGATTATAAATTTGATTTACAGATGTTAGAACTCTTCAGATGTTTTCTTTGTGAATTGTGTTTTAGTTGAGGTTAATGATTAAAACATTTGCATTATTGGCACAAAAATCAGTTTCTGCCCAGATAAGCATTTGCCATGATAGTCATAACTGCAATACAGTTTTTGATGGTATTGTTAGGATCTCATTGTAAGAAACCGTGCAAGAAGCTTCTAGGACTTTGTGTCATTTTCTCTCTTTGTTTGACAGTGGTTGAGTTACCACAGTGTTGTCGATAAACGTTGTGATTAACATTGATAAAAGACTAGAAACGTGCACTTAATTGTATACTGAATGTGCACTTGTAGTGTATTTCAAATATATGTTTTAATATACTGTACTTGCAGATAATATCAAATGAATGAAAATGAAATGAAACTCGTGTACTTAAAGAGAGACACTTAAGTAAATTTTTATAATGTGCACATTATAGTCAAATGAAAGGTTTTACTTTCAAGTACAAGTGTTAATAACCTTGTGTTGTACTTTAAAGCACACTTATTTTCATTGATGTGGGGTTTGTTAGGATCGGACAATATTTGGCCGAGATACAACTATTAGAAAATCTGGAATCTGAGGGTGCAAAAAAAATCTAAATATTGAGAATATTAAAGTTAAAGCCTTTAAAGTTGTCCAAGTGAAGTTCTTAGCAATGCATATTACTAATCAAAAATTAAGTTTTGATATATTTACAGTAGGACATTTACAAAATATCTTCACGGAACATGATCTTTACTTAATATCCTAATGATTTTTGGCATTAAAGAAAAATCTATAATTTTGACCCATACAATGTATTGTTGGCTATTGCTACAAATATACCCCAGAGACTTAACACTGCTTTTGTGCTCCAGGCTCACAAATATAGTTGTTAATACTTTTTTATGGATTCAGCAGAAGGCGCATTAAACTGCATCGTATGTGTCTGACTTAAAGTTCTGCCTTCATTCGAACCCCACAATCGGGCTAATCATGTGGATTTAGACAGGAAGATAAACTGAGATGAAGTGCGGATTGAGAGAGACTGGAGAAACGGCTTCACGCTGTTCTCAACCACTTCCATCTGTCATGCTTTCTAAGCTTGTGATCTTCCCGCACACACATGCGCACAGTCTGTGGAGTCCAGATTTGATCATGTGCTTCATAACTCACAAGTGAGATATTCTTGCTGTATACGGGTATCAGTAGATGCTTCTTAGAAGAACTAGAGAGATATGTGCTTTTATTATACTTATTGTTTTATGGTACTTTTTTCTGGTTTCATCAAAGGTTGCCTGTCTCACAGCAGAATCCTTCCACAACTGAACACAAAACGCACTCACCCGACAGACACAACCGTTCCTAGACAAACCACAGGCAAAACCCACACAAACTGTCCTCTAAGTCGTCTGTTGTTGATGGAGAGACTGTGAGGCCTGGATTCATTTGAATCAGAATTATATAAATGTCAGTCAGGGATGAGTAACATTCAGATTCAAAGAACTGGCTCTTTTTCAGTTCACAAAAATCTATTTGAATAGAATTGGCCAAACTCAACATGATGTTGAATTGAAGTCGGAAGTTGGAATTAGAAAGAGTAATTTACTCAATTGCAGTTCAAAGACATTCATCACACAGTTATTAGACATATACATATTTTTTTAAATGCAATAATGTTGCAACAGTTAACAGTCATTAAAACAATTCTGAATTTTGCCAGAAAGCATCACAATGTTGTTTGCATCTCCAAAAAAAAAAAAAGAACCCAAAATTGAATGTTGAATTGGAGTTTGGCTTGGAGGAATGACAGGAAGAGGAATTTACTGAAATAAAATTCAAAGACATTCAGCAATAGAATTTCCACGGTAACAAATATTAACACCACTGATTATTTCAATTTATTTGGTGAAATACTGTATCACTTTTTCTCAACTTCAATAATGACACAACAATTAACAGCCATCACAAGAAATCTGAACTTTGATAAACAGCATCACAAACATCTGCCACATTTTCAGATAACTAAGCAGAAATACTTACATCTAATTTTTGAGTTTTGAAGACTTAGAATATATTTTCTGGGAAATTATGTATTCTTTCAGCATGATCCTTAAAATTAAACTTAGTAAATGTAGCAAAATAAATATGAATGAAATGCAAATGTCTATTTCTATCATTTAAAACACTGATTATAAATATATTTTAATGTAACTGGTATTACACTTTTTGTACATGTTTATACTGAAAAGTTCAGCAGAGTTTCTCTGCATTTCATTCCATCTGAGTCCTACTTCCTTATATTCTGCATCCTGTTTTAATACGGTACAGTCGTACTCAACGCTCCCTCTCTTCTTTAAGTCGTGGAACGTATAAAACACCAGCTGCTTTCCTGCCAGCCATCAGTCCAAGCACTTAATTAATCCAATTAATGGGCAAAGTTCAGCAGGTAGAGTAGATACATAACACACACTCTCTCTCTCTCTCTCTCAAACGCACGCTAATCCTCTGCAGACCCTTGCTGACGACTCTTCTTGATTTATCCTCATTAGGACAGACTCTGACGTGCACACTTCCTCTTGTGCGGGCGTAAATGTTTGTCCTGTATTAATTCAGTAGCTTCAAGGAACTTAAACTGATAATCCTGAACTCTTAAATGGAGCGACCTTCTTGAAACCTCCTTTGAAGGAGTTTGTGGTGTTAAATTACAGGTTCTACAGATCATTCTAATGGTTTCTGAGGTTTTTTAAAGAATCAGTAGATGCTTTTTAGAAGAACTAGAGAGTGGAAAGGTTCACTGAAGGTCATATAAAGGATTGGTCACGCTTTGGGGACCAATTCTCGCCATTAACTAACGATTAACTATGAATTTTGCCTCAGTAAACTCCTAATTTGCTGCTCATAAATAGTTAGTAAGGTAGTTGTTAAGTTCAGGTATGGAGTTTAAAGGTTAAGGGATCTAGAATATGATCATACAGAATAAGGCATTGATATGTACTTTATAAGTACTAATAAACAGCCAATATTCTAGTAATATGCATTCTAATAAAGAACTAGTTAATAGAGAGAATTGGTCATTAAACCAAAGTGTTACCAAAGGATGTGGTGTCAGGCTTTCAAACCCCTTCGGTTATAACAGGAGCCTTTATTTTTAAGTGGAAAATTGTAGTAGGGCTGGGTGGTATGATAGTACATACTGTACGGGGCAATGCTGTAAATCATGTACCATTTATAATATGTTGCTCCTTCTCCTCGCAACCGAGTAAACACTGTAAATTGCGACTGAAGGTGTTCTAATGCCATATAGGTCATAAGGGTCAAACGGGTCACTGACCCACTGACACTGAAAAAAAGAGCACTTAGTTGTACCGAATGTGCACTTGTACTTGAAATCTTAGAAGTTAAAAAAAAAAAATAATAATAACTGTAATGAAATAAAAGGCAACTTAAGTACTTAAAGAGTGACACTTTAATGGCTGTCTCTTAACACACTTAAGTGCAGTTTGTAATAATGTCTAATTAAAAGTTTTAAATTACATTTAAAATTATTGTTTAATAATGATAGTCCTTTGTGAAGTACACCTATACTTTGATGTGTTGACCAACATAAAGCGCATGTAAAGTATTTGATTATAATTTTAACTGTGGTTTTTGATAATACATTTAAAGTTAATACATTTTAAATGTAGTCAATTGCAACGTCATCATTACAAATGTGTAATTACTTAAAAAACAAATTTCAATAGAAATTACATTAATGTATATATGTGTCCCTGCAGCACAAAAGCAGTGTTAAGTCGCTGGGGGGCAATTTTGAAATTACATATAAAGATGTAATTAAGTCCACATTAAGTGGGTCAAAAGAGCAATTTAATAATTTAAAATGTCATAGTTTAAGGTAAAATATGTTCCAGTCTTTTGAAAACGTATCATGACAAGAGTTTTCTTTCTTTCTTTCTCCAGGCTTTAGACGAGTCTCTCCGAAGAGCCAAGAGCAGGATCATCAGACGGATTACATGTAAATGCACATGGTCTCTGAACGGCTGGTGACCTTGGAGAGGAGGAGGCTGAGAAAGACACAGTAAGCAGCAAGAGACAGTTTTACAGGATTTAGAAGACGAGGACAGATAGGAGTGTAAAAAAGCAGGCCTGAAGATACGGATCTAGAAGCCGACTATTCGATCAGTTTGGCTGCATTCATCCCACAAAATGCATCCAGCAAGCTCAAGAAAGAGCGAGCGGCTTTTCTTCTTCTTCTTCTATGCCATCAGTCTTTCCATATGCACTGGGACAGGAATGCCGGGTTCAGACTACAACCCTCATCCTCGCTTCATCTGCACCCCTATTCCCGCTGATGCCGATCCCGGGTGTTTCCCCACAGCAGGCGGCCCCGGCGGCCCCGGATCCGGACACCACGGTGGGAACAGCAACGGCTGGTGGGCAATGTCCGAGGAGGCCAAAGCGACGATCCTGCACCTGCGGGAGAGTTTGGTGCAGCAGAAGGAAACCATCCTGGACCAGAGGGAGACCATCCGAGAGCTCACCGCCAAACTGAACCTGTGCGAGGGTTTGAGCCGCACACCCACACACCTGGCCCATCACGCCTACCCCACGGCACCCGACACCGGACACCTCGGGCTGGAGCTGGGCCACTATGGTGACGGGGTCGGAGGGCATCACGCTGGGAAAGGTGCGCTGAGCGAGAAGCACGTGGCAGGGGAGATTCCTTCACCCTCGTCCACGCCGGAGCAGATGAGCAAGATGCTGCAGAGCCTAAAGCAGCGGCTGGACAACCTGCAGGTACACATTTATATTAGGGCTGTCAGTTTAATGCACCAACTTAATTAATTAGTTTTGAAAAAGAGTACCTGAAAACCATATTTGAGTAAAAGTGCAGATATCTTACAGTGAAAATTACTCCACTACAAGTAACAGGTAACCAATTCCAAAACAACTTGAGTAAAAGTCTTAGAGTATCTCATTTTAACAGTACTTAAAGTTTCACTAAGCGATTTTTGCCAAACGATGTTGATATTTGAAAGCACCAAAACAAACACGCCCATACCCCAACAGGACCTTGCCCTTATTTTGATATCTCCGCCCCACACGTACGTACGCAACCATGGCAACGACAATCGCGCAAATAAGCGAAGATGACACACAAGCATATTCAAACAAAAGCCAACACGGATAAGTTGTGTGAAACAATGCAAATAAAACATTACTTGCCCATCAAAAAGAAACAACGCAACCTCGGTGTCCGATTCGAGCCCTTCCTATTGAGCCTCTCTATCATTACAAGACACGCCCCCTTACTGCGGATTGGCTACAAGTGTGTTTTAGGACTCGGTCCGACGCTGCCGTTTTTCAAAAATTGCTTAGTGCACCTTTAAGTATTTTATTTATACTAAATATAGGCTCAAAGATGCACTAGTCAAAGACACATGCCAGTCAAAATCTGTAATGTTGTGGAGAAGCTGGGGAAAACAGGCAGAGGCAAGGATCTATGTGCTGGTATTTCACGGAAAAACCAGAACAAACAATAAGCCAAAAACAAAAGGGAGCAAAGAACAGAATGAAGGGCAAACAGATAATCATTACATTCAACAACTCACAAAGAACTAAAGAAACATTAGGGATATATATATGCAGAAGACTAACAAGCTGAACAAGATAGGATACACTGGATGTGCTGGTTAAGTAAAGTAGCCTTGTTGACAAGTTTGGGTGAGTAACAGCAAAACTCATAAGATATAGTACATTCAGTGCCCTGTAGTTGGCGATATCACTTCTTTAGTAGCAGAAATAAACTGCTGCAGAAAAAGCTAGGTCCATGCAAAATGTAATGTGTAACTGCACACTCTTTTCAAATGTAGTGGAGTAAAGAGTACAGATACTCATTCAAGAATGTAGTGAAGTAAAAGTAAAAGAAGAGAGTAAAAGTTGCTAATATCTTTGATATTCAGTACAACTACAAAGTATCAGAAAAGATACTCAAGTACAGTAAATAATTTAGTCAAATACTTTACACCTCTGGCAATTAAAATGTTTTAACGCAGTTAACCCTCTGGCCACGCCCCCAGACCTATCTCATCTTACATTTCATGCAAATATGATGCAGTGTAACAACTCCATAAATGCAGTTTTGCCCTAATTCAAGATATTTTGGCAAAAAATTCCCCTGTGTGAGTTTTTGTCTCATATTTATATCATATGATAAGCGATATCACACAGGCAGAGAGAGTTGAATATCACAAGTTTAAGTGTGATTTTATACAACACTTCAATAAATACGAAGTTAATATTTTGTTATATTTTAAACACAATTTTGTCTGTTTTTGTTTCAATTTTGCATAGAAAGTATTACCTTTAAAGCCACAGCAGAATTGTTGTGCGTCTCCGAGTAACGCAGCGGTGATTCGTTTCTGAATGAATCTGCGTTTTGAACGAATCGTGTGAACCAATGATTAAACAGCCTATTCATGAAGTGAGCCGTTTACTTGATTCCAGAATGAATCAGCAGTTTGAACGAATCGAATGAAGGAATGACTCAAAAACACATTTACCGCCACCTGCTGGCAGTTTTAGTTTCTTATTTAGATGAGTGCCATTTCATTAAAAAAACAACAACATTAAAGTGTCAAGGTTGTGGGTAAAGGATGGAGTGAGGACTCAATATTGCAGGAAGATAAGGGCTTTATTAACGGCAGAAACAAAACAAAACAAACAAACAAAAACTACCCCGTAGGGGAAAACACAGCTGGCAACTTGACTGGCTGGCAGGACAAGGCACACGACAGGGAACATTCGACGACGAACTGGCACGGGACTGCAAACACAAGGAGAATAAATAGGGAGCAAATGAGGAGGGTAATGAGGGAAACACAGGTGGGGCAAATTAACCAATAATCAGGTAACAAGATGGGTGGGGTCAAGACAAGCATGAGAGCGCATGGCACACAGAAAACAAGGACATGACGGTAGTGTCAGGGCTCTGTCTCAAAACCATGAATAAACTAGACCAGGGTTCCTCAAATCTTGTCCTGGAGGGTCAATGCGCTGCAGAGTTTAGCTCCAACCCTGGTCAAACTCACCTACCTGGGATTTTGTAATGATCCTGAAGACATTGATTAGCATGCTCAGGTGTGTTTGATTAGGGTTAGAGCTAAACTCTGCAGGAAAGTGGATCTCGTGGGCCAGATTTGAGGATCCCTGAACTAGACCGAAGTGACAGACCCCTGACATAAAGATATAGTTCACCCAAAATATTCAGTTCTGTCATCAATTACCCTAATGTCGTTTCATCACAGCATAAGAGAAGGTATTTTGAAGACTGTTGGTAACTGGTTAAAAATGTCTGCCATTGTATGAACAAAAAAATACTCAGATGTTTCTCAAATTATCTTCTTTTATGTTCCATAGTTTATGTTAGGCCGTTGCAGCCTAAACGTTTAGGCCTATATGTGCAATAAATGTAATGTTAAATCAAATAAAATATTTCTTTCTAAAGCTACAATTTGTTATGTCTACTTGATATTTTCTCATTTAACACAATAAGGCTTTAAATTATCTTTTGTGCGTATTTTCACAGCCAAATTTAATTTGCGATTAATTAGATTAATTCATAGACACATCATGTATTTAATTAGATTAAACAATTTTAATCGACTGACAGCCCTAATTTATATGCATTTCTACAGAATTTCATACAATACAGATGGAGTTCAAAACAGCTTCACGGTAATAAACAGGAAAATAACAGTGTTGTACAGTTATGAAACAAATTCAGTTTCAGCTGTAACGCCGCTCTACAGAAGACAACGGTGTCATTATTCAGCTCAGTTCAGCTCAATGTTGATTCAGTTCAGTTCAATAGCAGATTTGATGTTGCAAAGTTCATCAGTTATTAAATTAATTTGATTCGGCTATATGTAGCTATTATGTAGTTTTTATAGTATAGTCTATATAGTATTTCAGCTTTAGTTTGTTATTGTAGTGCATCAAGTTAAACTAAATGAAAATGAGAAATGTATAGTTGACATGTTTTTTTATTTCAGTTGACATTTATTTTTGTTAACTTTAATAACTCTAATTCATATAATTAATATATGTTAATTATTAATAACACAAGGGATGATAAAAATGATTGGGCACTCAGTGGTTTGTGGTTTAGGGTGGAGTGGTGATAGTCAATGGATCCTATAAATAGTGCTGAAAGATTCTGCTCTGTCATCTGAAGCTGATGGGACACTGTTGGACATGTTAAGCATTGGTGTAGGAATGTGTTTCATTAGGGTAATGAATATCATCCTGGCTGTCAATTTATCAAATATCATAATATGTGAGGTGCTTTTTCGCACCGAGCCGTTACCAGGATCAGCAGCATACAGTACAGCCGTGCGCAGGCCTTTTCTCAGAGCGCTGTGATTGTGTTTGCAGACGAGAAACACCTCCAGCAGCTACTCCAGCTCACTGAAGGACCTCCTGCAGAGGAAGATCAGCGCTCTGGAGCAACAGATGCAGCACCATCACTCTGCCTCGCTAACCAGCGCCACTCACTCCGACCACGAGGATGATGATGATGATGACGGTCACCATGGCGACGATCATGACGACAGAGACCACGACAGCCATGACGACCACGGTGATCCTCACGATGAGAGTCACCACAGTGATCACCATGACGACGATCACCACGACGACGATCACCATGACAACAACAGCCACCATGACAACGGACACCAAGACTACGGTCACCATGACAACAAGGCTTCCGAGCATGGCTTCGAGAGGTTGTCGTATAACCTGCAAGGTCACAGAGAAGCACAGGGTGGAGTGCACAGCAAACTGGACGCGGTTCTCAGTCAGCTGCAGCACAGTCTCGCTGACACGGGTGAGAAAGCTGATCAGATGAATCCTGCTTAAAGGAACACTTCACTATTTTTGAAAACAGGCTCATTTTCCAACTCCCCTAGAGTTAAACAGCTGAGTTTTACCGTTTTTGAATCCATTCAGCCGATCTCCGGGTCTGGCGGTAGCACTTTTAGCTGTAGCTTAGCATAGATCATTGAATCTGATTAGACCGTTAGCATCTCGCTCAAAAATGACCAAAGAGTTTCAAAATTTTACCTATTTAAAACTTGACTCTTCTGTAGTTACATCGTGTACTAAGACCGACGGAAAATGAAAAGTTGTGATTTTCTAGACATATATGGCTAGGAACTATACTCTCATTCCGGCGTAATAATCAAGGAACTTTGCTGCCGTACCGTGAGTGCAGCAGGCGCAATGATATTACACAGCGCCTGGAAATAGTCCCCAGCAGCTGTTTGTTATGTTGACGGAAGTTAGCCTATTTTCAGGCGCTGTGTAATATCATATCAACTACAGAAGAGTCGAGTTTTAAATAGGAAAAATATAGAAACTCTTTGGTAATTTTTGAGCGAGATGCTAACGGTCTAATCAGATTCAATGATCTATGCTAAGCTACAGCTAAAGGTGCTACCGCCAGACCCGGAGATCGGCTGAATGGATTCAAAAACGGTAAAACTCAACTGTTTAACTCTAGGGGAGCTGGAAAATGAGCCTGTTTTCAAAAATAGTGGAGTGTTCCTTTAAGAGCACTTCAGCTGGACCAGTCAGGCTGGTTTCGTCCCTTAGATGCTCTAGATAGATCCTGGTCAAGTCAAGTCACCTTTATTTATTTAGCGCTTTTAACAATACAGATTGTGTCAAAGCAGCTTTACATTATTAAATAGGAAAATAGTGTATAATAGTAAACACTCAATTTTCATTTAAAGGCAGTTCATCATTGAATTCAGTGATGCCATCATCCAGCTCAGCTCAGTTCAAATAGTATTTGTGCAATCAAGTCGACGATATCGCTGGAAACTAAGTGTCCTCGGATGTCGTCAAGATCATTCAAGATCCTGATCAAGATGATTAGGGCTGGTAGGCCATCTTTGACCAGTAAAAAGTCACTTACCATGTTCTAAGTTGGTAACCAATCAATGACCTGTTTTTAATCAGGGTGTGATTTGTTAAAAAAAAAACAGATGATGATTTTGAGTGAGAATGTCATCATTATAATTTTAATGTAGAAATTTAGACTGGGTAGATGCTGCATTGTAAAATGTACGGTAAAAAATACGGTAGCAACGTTTTAGGTTTTACGGTTTTAACTTAAATTTACAGTTAAATACCGTAATTTCATTAACTGATATAATGTTACTATAACAACCTACTGAAGTACTGAAATCTGTTTTGTAGCTTTGTAATACACTGATAACCACCAAATGCAGGAGGTGATGAGAGTCACATGATGAACCGAAGCCCATCACAAGCAGCTTTTAGATAATAACATATATAGAAGGTGCACAGTGT